CACTGAATTTTTTTTTTTTTTTTAAGAGACCAAAGTGAAAATTGTGCCGCTGAGGCAGGAGAGGTCCAATAGTTCAGGGGGCCCAGAATTCCCTTTCAGGAACCCGCTAAAAGTTTGCCAAAGAAACATAGAAGACGGGCAAAAAAAGGATTATTTGTCAAAGGGATAAATCCCTCAGTATTTGACCTCAGGAAGGTCTGGTTGCTCTCTGCTGTCACTCACACTGGAATAGGTTGCTTTTACATGAAGGTAGTGCTTGGTAAGGAGATTTAAGTGCCTGCCCAGACCTGTGTCCTGAAATCTGGAGGCAGCTGCTGCCTGCACAAGGGAGGTTGCTGGTGTAGATGAGCTCAGACAGGGTGTCAGCTTGCAGCTTGGCTCACGGTCTCCTTTCCTCGCGACCGTGGGAAGCTGCGGGTCCCTTGTAGGAAGGTGTCTGCCTTGCCTTGCTCCGGGGTGCTCCTTAGCAGGGAATTTCACAAAACTCAGAGCAATCTACATCATGAGAAGTAGCGCAGAGGTGGGCTCCGGGCAGAGAGGAAGAAGGGGCCTGTGCACATGCTCGGGGCTGTTCGCCTGCCTTCTGCCCAGCAGCGCTGGCACCTACCAGAGCTGGCAGCTCCAGGCGGGCCTGGCAGCTTTTGCTGAGCACAAATTCCCCCTCTGCTGCACCATTTCTGACTCTGCCGGGTTCTTCCTGGGGCAGCGGAACATTGAAAGGACAATGCCAGTTTGGAGCTCATTCTTGTTGGTACATTTGGTGTCAGATAGGGCCAGAGGAAGAAAGAAAAGGGGTTCTGCTTTTGCAGCTGAGCTCCAGAGGTCTCACTGGGCTTGGGGTGGTGGTGTGGGGTTTGGAGATGCTCCCTAGAACTCAGTCACAGGACTAGCAGAGACCTAGCGTGCCAAAACTTCCACCTGCCTGAAAACATCAGGGACTGTGTCCCTGTCCTAGCGGGGCCTGAACTCACTGGTAAAATAAATGCTGACTGATTTTTATTTTTTCTAACCTGTCTCAGAGCTCTTCTTGCAGTAACTGAAGCTGTTAATTACCTTTGTGAGTGTCTTCCTCCGAACCCAGGCTGCCAGTGGAGAGCAAGGTTGTGGCATGACCTCCCCCTCGCCCCCCCCACATGCTTGGAAGGAATCTCTTGCCAGGACTGAGCCCTTCAGGTATCTTTTCTCTGGGCCTGGCTCATGCTCTAGCTGGAGGGGGGTACCCAGGTCCTGCTGGGTTGCAGTAGAAATGCCCAGTGCCAGTGGGTGTGTAAACCAAGCTCCCCCACAGCTCAGCTCACCTTCCCCATCCAGCACATGGGGCTGCCTTCCACTTGTAAGGGCTATTACAGTTATTTTTATCACCGTTTCCTGAAAAGCCACTTCAGTGGCTGCTCAGTTTACGCTGAGAAACACCATTCCCCTGGGAGAAACCTACCCCAGGGCACTTGTTTTCGCAGCCAGCCCCTGTGCGGAGCCAAGGGAGGGAGCGCCTCGCATACTTGGCACAAGGAGGGGTCCCTGCTGCGAGGGAGAGAAGGGAAAAATTAGTTCCACCCCAAAAAGCCGTGGAAAGCAGCTGCACTCTGTGGAAGCGAGTGTAAGCCCTGCCAGTGCCAGAGCCGGCTGCATGCGGGGCCAAGGGGTGACATCAGGGAACCCAGGGACAGTGCCTTCGCCTTGGCCAGGCTGCGAGCAACCGCCGATGTAATTTGCTCATAGAAACAAGGTTTATTCTCCTAAGCAGCAGAACAGGAGCTCGCTGTGAGCTCCCCTGGGGCAGGCATGTGCCTGCCAGGCTGCCAAAACCATTCCGTCCTGCCGCCACTGCAGCGTGGCCGGCAGCCTGCCCCGAGCCCAGCACATCCCCTCCAGCTTCTGGGCCGGGTTTAAGCCCTCCTCTCTGGAAACTGGGCTACCTCCTGCCAGCAGTGCCACTTGGCTGGTGAGCAGGGTCCTGGAGGAAGAGGAGGGCCTGCTCCCTCGGGCTGCGCTGCTGGGATCTCCGATGCAACCAGCCTCTGAAACCAGCACTCCAAATTTTAAGGTTTTTTTGGTTTTTTTTTTTTTTAAAAATCTCACTTCCAAGCTTCCCCCTCACCCCGAGGAATGAAGGACAGTCAGACAGTCACCTTTCCCTGCAAGTCCTTCACGTTTTATGCTAAAACCAGCAGTGTGGCTCAGACAGTGGGCTGAGGTGTGCCCCACAGGGCCTGGGACAGCTCCCACCTCCTCCCCTGCACCCACACTGCCCTGCCCTGGGTGCTGGGCCAGGCCAGCACCTCTGCAGCCATCAGCACCCTCCTCCTCCCTCTTCCCAAACCACTTCAGCCCAGCGACCTGGGCTTTCCCCAGGGGGGTAAAAAAAAAAACCAACAACCCCCACACCCAGCCCACTCATGCCCCGCAGGAGCTGCTCCACAGCCCCTATTTACAAAAGCTGCATTCAGTTCCCTGCAAACCCACGCTCACTTTTTCCAGTTAATTTTTCTCCAGGAGCTGGATGAGGACCCAGCCCTGCCCCACGTGTGCCGGCCGGCGCCAATTGCCATGGAGGCAGCTCACTGAGGAAGAGCGCTGGGTTAACACAAGTCAGCTATATTTAAAACATTTAATACAAATATGTTTTGACAAGTCCTGTAGTTGTTTCCAATGAGTCCTGGAGATGCGTTTTCCCCTCCCTTAAAAACGGAACAAGGCCCGGAGCTCCAAAAAAACATCAATTTGAGATTTCTTCTCTCACTCCTTCCTGCCTTCCTCCCCAGTGCTGCCTCCACCCCACCAGGGCCCAGTTAACGGAAGAAACCTCCTGCATCAAACCTTCAGAACGCAGAAAAGCTGAGAAAAACTTAACTATCTCCTCTTCCCTGCTTGCAAAGTTACCGCAGGTTAGGGTAGCTACAGTCCTCAGGGACCCCAACAGAGGAATTAGTTAAAATTAAGGCGTTTTGCTCTTCGTCAGACATCCCTGTCAACCCACACCAGTTCCCGGAGCGCAGCTGGGATTTGCTACATTTAGAGATTGCACAGGGGAAGCCTCGACGCTTGAGGGGGGAGCTCAGAGGGCTTCCGCCTCCTTCGCCGCCCTGGTGAGCATCTCCGTGACAAGGCCTAGGTCCTTCCCCTTGTCCAGTTTGATGTAGGTGTCCGTGCTGAGGGCGTGGATCCCCACCCAGTCGGGCAGCAGCTCTGCGAAGAGGCGCAAGTGTTTCTCCATCTCGCCTGCCAAAAGGAGCAGCGGCCGCCGGGTCAGAGCTCGGCTCCCACCCCCTTCCCTCCCGCACCAGCGGGAACCATCTCCCCCCCGGCCCAGATTTCCTACCGGGAGGCATCTGCGCGTCGTAGCTGTCAGCCATGCGGGCACAAGCCACCTCCATGGTCAGCGCCGGCTTCTTCTCGGCCACGAAGACGTTGCGCAGGATACGGGCCATGGCCGGCAGCCGGCCCAGCATGGCCAGTCGCTCCTCCTGCCGCGGGTCCCGCGTCATCAGCGCCTGCAGCTTCCGCGCCTCCTTCGCCCGGATCTGGGGGAGCGGAGATGGGGTGAGTGAGGCGCAGGAAACTGCCCCCACATCCCACCCTACCCCAGCGTTATGGCCAGGACCGAATTACTCACCCTCTCGAGCAGGGCCTGGGACACCCCTTTGAGAGCACTGGAGGTGCTGGCAGGGGACGGCGCTTTGGAAGCCACCGGTTCCCCCGCACCGGCTTCAGCAGTTCTTAAGGCCAGGTTGGCAAGAGCTTTTTCCATCTGCTCATGGGGAAGAGGGAGGAGGAGTTGGGTTACCGCTCGCGCTGGAGAAAGAAGTTTCCCCTCCGCCACCCCCACCACCACATCCCCATCTGACCCATCCCTGCCTGCGGAGGACAGCCTGAGACGCTTCATCTCCTCTCAGCCCCCAAAATCAGCCTGAAACCAGGCCTAGGCCACAACCAGCCACGCTTACAGCCAGGCTCACGTTCCCACCTGTCCCATTCCTACAGAGCTCCGAGTCCTGTGGCTCAGAAATGATCCTTCCCGTCCCAATCCAGGAACAGCCTCAGCTGCTCTGAGGTCTGGCACCCCTGGTCCTGGCTCACCTTGGGGCTCAGCATCCCCCGAGCTGCGCTCAGCACCTCCTGGGCCGTGCTCAGCCTGTCCTCCTGGGGCGGCCGCGGCAGCTCCGCCGGGCTGATGTCGGGCACCTCGTCCACGTTGAAGCGGGGATGCCAGCGGGTCAGCTTCTCCTCGGGCACCACCATGGGGGGGCTGAGGGCGGCCAGGAATGCCTGGAGAGGGGCGAGAGCTGCGTCACAGCCAGGTACGGGCAAGCCGGCTGTTGCCCTGTGCTCCAGCACAGGTTGGCAACTGCCTTGGAGGAAACCCAGAGCCAGGAGAGATTCCAGCTCCCCGCCAAGAGCATCCCAGAGGAACCAGCGACGTCCTTCAGCCTGGATGTCAGCCTGCTCCTTCCACCCACTTCTCCAGCACCCAGAGCAACCCAGAAGTGCTGGAGCAGGGCGGGGGGAGTCCTCACCTTGTGATGCTGCTTGACAATGTTCACCAGGTTGCGGTGGAACTCCTTCCGACGTGCCAGCAGGCGCGACGCCGACAAGTGCGGGCGGCCGTCCACTTTCTCCTCTGCAAGGAGAGACACGAGCATCACCCACAGCACCTCGGCTTCACCACGCCTGAACCTCAGGAAGGACAAGCCCAGCTCCCCAGATCACTGCCCCATCATCCTCCTGCTTGTCCCAAAAATGTCTTCCACTTCCAACCCGCTCAGGCCCTTATGTGCCAGATGATTATCCTGATGATTGTCCTGAAGGTCCAGGAAGGCTGGACACTCTTTAAGAAGAAAGTCTTAACAGCACAGGAGCTGGCTGTCCCCAGGTGCTGTAAGAGAAGCCGGCAGCAGAGAAGGCCACCCTGACTGAACAGGGAGCTTTGGCTGTAACTCAGGGAGAAAAAAAGTTTATAGCCTTTGGAAGAAGGGACTGGCCACTCACAGTGATTACAGAGAGGCTGTGCAGGGTGGAAATCAGGTCTAAAGCCCAGCTAGAAATTAATCTGGCTTCAGCAGTCAAAAATAACAAGAAACATTTCTATAAGTACTTCCACAGCAAAAGACAGACCAGGAGAGCCTCCATCCCCTGCTTTTGGGGGACCCCAAACGTGTTCTCCATTTCCAACCCGCTCAGGCCCCGATGTGCCAGGTGATTTATCCAAGAGACCGAGCTGGGAGCACCCCTGGGGATTCAGGGATCTCAGCCAGGGCCGAGCGTGGATGGGCCCCCCCGGCCCCGAGCCATACGCACCTTCCCCCAGCACCGGCTCCAGCGTGAGCTGGTAGTCAGACTTCTTCACGCCGTTGCCAAAGGTGGGGATGTTCTTCTCCTGGCGCAGTCGGTACGAGGTGGGGTAAACCGCCTTGATCTGCCCCACGTGCCGCTCCTCAAACTGTCTGTAACAGCACCCCGAGAGGTCAGGATCCCCCAGGGGCTGACCCCAGGGCCCGGGAGCTTCAGCGGGGCCCCCAAAACGTGCTGCCAACTTACTTGCGCATCATATCCTGCACCCCCTGCTTGACCTTGGCGAAGGTGACGGTCTCGGCGCGGTTGAAGAGCATCCCGGCGATGGTGTCCACGCTGCAGAACATCTCCGCCAGCACCTTGAACTTGTAGGGCAGCGTGAGCCCCGG